TCCTTTATTCAGTCATGCATTTAAATAAAGTATGTATATGATTGTCCAGATGATTCATTTAATAGGTAAATGAATTATCGAAAAGGGTTCCTACGGAAGCAATATAATTTGGGACCTATATTGCACAGTAGGCCATACCGATGCTTCCGAAAGATATCATGTTTGATATAAGTACGGATGACGATGATAGTCATGTCACTGGGGCATTGGTATGATTAACGGTTGGTGAATTGTTTTTCAAACGTGACCGAATAACGATAAATCACTTGGAAAAGCATGTAGTCAATGATTTATCGTTTGGTTATATCAGTGCACGATGTAGTCCTTTGACCTGAGACGGGTAGTCGGATCCGATATGGATGCGTATGGTTCATATGGTGTAAAGTACAAGACTAATCTGTTTCGTACATAAGCCTATTTGGTCATGCGTTGTTCATATGCGGAAACGAACGATGGTCAGAGAGGATCCATTACTCGGAATATAGGATCGGGAGTACCGCTGACTCCATCCGGATTTGAGTTCCTAGACGACAATCGATAAATGTCAGAAACTGAATCTCTGGCCAGAGTCTATTATTAGTCATACAAAAGTAAGTTGTGATGACAATTTCGGACATATTGATCGACAATTCGGTAAAGATCGAGTTTAGGATTTTGACGTTCCATGAATCCATACTCATTAGGATATCTCAATGGAGGACTTTACCTGCATGGTACATATGATCTGAAATGGGTTCGATGAAGTATTTCTTCATCGTGGTTTAGGGACTATGCACATTGCTAGATGTTTACCATAGTCGTTGGGCCTCCGAACAGGTTTCCAATTCATCAGAACCAGCTCACGGCTAATCCCGGTGGACCTACTGGTCACACCAATAGCCTTGAAAGTTAGAGAAGGATGAGAGAGAAATGATATCTCCGAAGAAGGCTAGCACCTTCCGAGGGTAATACGGTTTCTATGGTAATAGTTACATAGAAACTATTTGTGACATTTTAAGATTAAAATGGTCAAGCAATAATTAATTATATTTATATATTATTCTTAAAGTGTTAAGAAAATGAGATGAACAAAAATCCTTTATAGTTAAAGGGTAAAGGGTAACTTTATGGGTTGTCATTGTAAACTAGTTTCGTTTACATGGGCCCTTGAATAATATTGATTATTCAAGGGTAGCATTATAAATTCTGGGGTCCTTTATAAAATAAGATTTTATTGGCTTTGAAGTGAAAAATAAATATTACAAAATGCCCAAGTTATATAAATGCAAAAGGTTGCATTTTTGTTCATAACACACATTGTTCACTCAAAGCAAAACCAAAACATCTCTCTAAAAGCCACAACTACTCTCTAAACCTCTCAAGGTGGTGTTAAAGTGTGGAGGTCTCATTACTTTGAGGCTAATCTTCATCAATCCAAAGCAAAGGAGTAGGTATAATCTCTTTTCCAAGCTTTGTTTTTAAAACCGTTTTCTTGAATCCATTTTTTATGCTTTCTTCTCCATTTCCACCACTCTTCATGCATGCATGCTGTTCTTTCACTGAGCCGGTTGAGCTCAGTGCTCTTGGCCTCCTTCTCATTCTCTGCAAGCACGGCCTTAGCCAAAGCATCCTCCTTCACTATCTCTGCAGCCTGCCATTTCCGGTGGTTCGCCTCTAAAGTGTTGTTGCATTCCTTGTACAGAAGTCTGCTCGCTATGGCAACCTGAAAAGAGGAGACGAGGAGTCAGTAAGAAGCAAGAATAACATGCAAAAGAAAAGGGGGCACGAACTACCAGTACATTCGCCGCGTAGCTGCAGGTTAAAGACAACATTTAGGAAGGAGACGAGTCCCTGACGGCCGCGAATGTTCACAGGATGACACAATCCTTGGCCACCACGACCCCAACAGCTTAGGCCGCTTCATCTGTCTCCTTACTCTTTGGTTGGGATAAGCCATGTTTACTCCCCTAAAAAGCACCTGCCTCGCCAGCAGGAGCAGATTTTTTCTTGCCCAAGCCTTTGGCCGCTTCTTTTCGAAGGTTGTTGGCTTGCGTGACAACTTCTTTGCCTGAGCCAATTTGTTGCTCGAGTGCTTTATTTTTTCTCGAGCATCCAGTTGGCTCGGATGTCTTCTTCACTAGCCCCTTTCGAGGCTCCGTAACGCTTTTCCCTCCAACTGCCTTAGTGGCAGTCGCAGGCTTCTTCGTGCTTGGCCCTCCCCCAAGCTCACCATCAGCACACTTCGAGCTGGCAATGTCTATGGGTTGCTTCATCCTCGAAGTAGCCGAAGCCTTCGTGACGGCCGCAGAGGTAGCCGGTTTCTTCTTTTTCGGCTTTTTGGCCCATATTTTTGCAAGGAAAAAGGCAAACGAGTTAGCAATCTATTTGTGTGGGAAAGCAAGCGCAAGCAAGTAACAGCTTAACCTTTCTCCAAAAGTGCTAGAAAATTGGTCTTCTCCCGACAAAAGCCGTACGCTTTCAGGTGAGGAAAGGTAAAAAGCTCATTAACATTACGCTGATCGTCCAAAAGATCACTAAAACGATGCAGCTTCTATAAGCTCGCAGTTGGAAGATAACTCTGCTTGACGTTAACTACAAAAACAAGACAGGATGATCAGTTAGAATGTACAACTCGAGAACAATCCTTGCACGAACACGGGAAGCCCGAGCCTTACTCACTTTCACAGCGAAGACACCAATCTCTCGGGCTTCATAGAAAAAGAACTGTGAATCCCAGTGTGGAACTTTCTTCGAGACGTCGACCAACTTGTTAAAACGTACTCTCCTCGCTTTGGAAAGGTGGTACATCTGGTCTTGCCCCTTTTTGAGCCTATGCAAGTGAACAAACTCTTCGACAGACGGCTCGCCCAAGTCAGCGATCATGTACGCGATGTACATTGCGATAATGATCATGTAAGAATTGGTCATCAGTTGAAGAGGAACAATGTCGAATCGCCTCAACACGTTATCGATGAACTAGCGCAGGGGAATGGATACCCCTCACCTAAGAAGAGTCTCAACGGTGGCTACCTATCTATGTGAGGGTTTCTTCTAAAAATATCCCCCCAGAACCATCAAGTTAAGCTGGAGTGTGTAGACTGCTCTTATGTGTTCAAGATCCCTGAGGGTGATCGAAGATTGTGGTTCTCTTAGTAGCCTATGGGCTGGAGACGGCGTTAGGCTAGCTGAATCAAAACACGATCGAACAAGCCCACAGCGTCGGGGTCTAAGCTTCGAGCGATGAATTCTTCAGAAACCTCGGGGGACACATCCCCAAGCACTGTCGAGCCTACCGGCAAGTCGAACATTCGGTCTATGGTACGACTACTGGATGAAGACATGATTGTAGCTCGCCTCTAGGTACTTGAAAAAAGAAGCGAACATGTATTAGAGCTAGAACAAATTGGCGACCATTCCACACTCGCTTCTATTTTAGGCACCCGAGATAGCTCTTGCAATACAACGAACGGATGCGACCTACACGGGATACCTGCGGCCACCGCATTGAACCCCTTTAAAACTTGAGACCGTCAGAGATGCAACCAAAAACCCTACTAAAACCTTAAAACATCCAATGTGGCCACTACAGTAGCCACCCTTAATTTGACGCAAAAATCAGAAAAATAGAAGAAAATAAGGAAAAGAGCCTTATCGGAATAAGAAAAGTGTTGGGAACTCGTGAGAAAGACCACCACAATGATGTAAGAACAACAACGAAGGAGAATTAGAGTCAGAATAACTTTCAGAGTGACTATTTTGAGGTTTTTTGTCACCTTTTATAGTGGTTTGCATGGGAGACGAAGAGGCAGAGTTTAATCGTGGCCCTTGACTTACAGTCAATCCTGACCCTTCGATCATCGAGCAATCTCAACCCATAGATGTGGCCACGTGTTGACCATCCACGAGGAGCGATGAACCATTGGATTGTTATAATAATAATCGTCGCTGAACGTCGCCTTGACTTTGCGCGTGAATAGCTGACGTCGCCCACGCGCGACGAAATGTAACTAACAAAGGCTGCCGCATTTAATGCGGCACGACCACTCATAAATTGCCTGTATGCCCTGACTATTCATATTCTGAGTTTTGACAAGTACCATGAGGAATAAAGATCTAAGTGTGAGGTACGTCAGCCAAGCACAAGGTCGATCACGAGGGCCTGGTCGGACACGCGCTCGGAGACTCATTGTTGAAGTCGAACTTGGCATCAGATCGAGCAATAGTCTTCGAAGCCCGAAACAAGCATTGAACACTAGGGGGCAGATGTTGTGTGTGATTTTTTCGCCAAGTTCGCGCCAACTCGAGAATATAGCTCGACCTAGAATGAGCTCGATAACTATGATTGATCAACCCAGCATAAGTTAGTCGTGAACAATTCAAGTAATCATTCAATCAATCCCCAGATTACTTCAGATCCCAGATATTACGGGAATGACTAGATCAACAATAATCACTGCACAATCACAACGCCCAGTTGCGAGGATATTGGAATTATGATTCGAATTAGTTGTAATCCCCTAAATTTCGTTTTTTTCCTTTGTATCAATCTTGTATATAAACCATCTTAAACAATGAGGAGTGGGTTACGAATTTTAGATAAAAAAACCGCATTATAAGCTCTCACAACAAATACAAAAACACAGATGACGTAGGCTATTAACCTGGTTGAAACACTTTAAAAATCTCTTTGTTCTTAGTTCATTTCATTCATATTCATCGCCGATTTTCACTAATCACGTGCACATCGGTTTCGACTCCGGCAAGGTCGATCGGATCACGCTGGTTGGTGCAGAATTTTGTATCAACAAATACCATTAATTTCTTATAAAAAATTCCTTTAACTAATACAAGACAAATGTTAAGAAATATGCTCAAAACGGTAAGAATAAATGTTAATTTTTTTACTTTGACTATGAATAACTGAATTAAATGGAATGAATAATTGGTAGAAATATGTATATTAATTCGAAAAAAAAATATTTTAATTTAAAAAAGATTACAACCTTTTATACAAATTATAATTAATTAAAACACAAAACTTCATTCATAACATAAGAATTTTTACATGATAAATAGTCCTTGAGCATTTGGATCAATTTAATGATATCCAATCGGAGCTGGTGCGTCCTTGAGCTCATGTCCTTGACATTGAATATCCTGCAATGCAAGTAACAAAATCAATCAAGAAATTAAAAAAAAGAAAAATCACCATTAGGAAAATGAAGGGTTCTTGCTTTACCGATGCATAGTGGTTAAGGTCGCGGTGATGAGCCTCATCGGCTCTGATGACCACAACAACATCTCGGAGAGTTGAATCCGGAGGCAAACGCCAATAATCAATGGCGATTGCAGGAGCGGGGACATTTTCAAAGCTACCATTGTCCAAATCCTTGAGGAATTCACTGTAAGATATAACTGCTTCTTCTTCCAAGTAGCCCACTATGCGGTGAGCGAGCTTTGGAGAAGCTAAATACGCCAGAAAATATGCATTGAAAAACACTCCCTGGACTGCAAAAACAAGGGCACGTTCATACCACGCAGGCTTCGCTAAGTCTATGAATGTCATCAAATGCATTCGCTCGTTTTCGGCTTCTTCGAGTAGAGCTTTTATCCATCCTCCGCTGTGTTCGAATCGCCTCAGCGATTTGCAATGCAAAAGCATCCCTCCAACCATTCCAGGAACTGCCGCCACTGTCTCTAGTAACATTGCGTGACACATGTGGCGCCTCTGCAGGCATTTCCAAGTTGTAATTTTTCACCATGAAAAATTAACAGTATTGAATCTTTAGTGTTATTATATCGACATTAATTAAGGATCGTATTAGTACCTGAAAGAATAAATGAGTCGGGTATTTGAGAGCCTGGACAGTCCAATAAGCAAATTTATCCCTGAAGTTTTCTGGTTTATGGTGCCTTGTTTCATCAATGGAGACGTCTGCCGTGTAGGTCTCCCAGGGCTGTCAAATTTGAAGCATGTTAAAAATCAGCCAAATAATTTGTTTTAGCAATGAATTAAACTACAATTACAAACACACTAACCCTGAAGCAGTTCCATTTCCAGGCTGAACCGTCTTCTTTAGTCAGCTTAGCGGGTGCCACGCCCCAATAGCTAGGAATGATCTTATCATTCTGCTTATCAGAGCTGATAGAGTTATTCTTCTCGTCCTTTGGCGAGCCATTGGGGGAAACTGAAGTACTCAAATTCCGAATCGCGAACGCAGGCCTCAGTCTGGCAAAGGTTTGGGTGGTTTCAGAAATGTTTACTGAGAAGCCGCGAGTACCAAGTTGAGATATAATCGACCTGGATAATTTTGCTGCAGTATGATGACTCATTTTCAAAGCTTTTGAGATATAAAATTGGAAAATCTGAAACTTGAAGGGAAGATTTTTTTTTTTTTTTCTTTTTCTGTAGTTTGAAGGTAGAAGATTGGTATATATCTATATAGTATGAGTATTGATTTGAAACGACAACGATTTATATTGAACAGATTGGAAAAAAAGGAAGAAGGTTCATAAGTGAACGGTTGAAAGTTCACAGGTGAACAGTCGTAAGTCCTTGTTGGACACGCCTTGTTGGACACGCTCCAATAATCGTGTACTAGTTGACCTAAAATTCAACAAAAATATTTATAGAAAAAATAGGGAATAACGTTATTAATTGGACCCTTAAATTATTTATTATTACTTTGATTAATTCAATAATAGAGAATTAATTAGTAAGAGAGTAATTGGAGTTTTCTATTTGATTTGTCTTTGCTGGTGCAATTGACTTTACAACCAGTTAAGGAAAAGCACGTAGTCACTGAGATCGTAACTTTAAGGTCAAGGTCAATCCTGGTTGCTATAGAAATAGATTGCTATTGCCCCGGTACTTCTTGGTTGCTTCATGTTAATACAAAAATCTACACTAACCAGAAAATTTTGATTGAGCGTGTCGAAACTAGAATAGATGTATGCGTGATTACGGATAACCAGCAGTTGATGAATAATAAATGCAATAAAGTAAATGGCAGAGAGATTTTTATAGTGGTTAGGTAAGTTACAACTTGAGTCTACATCCACTGTTATCTTATTGCTTTTTAGAGCTTACAAAGAACAGTATAATTTCTAGGAAAATTTGCTTAGAACAATTGCCCAACCCCCTTGAAAATAAGCCATGATGGGTTTATATAGCACTCATTTACATGATAGAGTTAAGATAAGATTCAAATACGTATGATTAGGAAGTTGCATGATCTTCGGCTACCTTAGTTGGAATCTAAGTCAATTTGAATATCTTCCTTCCAAATTGAGCCAATCTAAATATTTTCTCTCCTAATAGGGAATTATCCTCTCCGGATTGACTGCACAACAATAGCCCCCCACTTTTTAGAGTGCATAATCGCGCTTCAAAAACTCATGTCTTTGATCTGGATGAGTATTGCACTATAGGCTACAGTCTCGAACTGAAGAGCTTGAATTATGCCTGGCACGATCTAAGAGATCTAAGAGATCTTGAACATGTGATCTCCAGCAAACGACCGAGCTTATGAGCTCAATCAGAGAGAATAAAGAGCTCGATTTGAGAACATAAAGAGCTCGATCAAAGAGCATAAAGAGCTCGATCTAAGAGTGCGAAGAGTTCAATTAGAAAGCTCGGAGAGCTTGATCTAAGAGCATAGCTCGATTAAAAAGTATGGAGAGCTTGATCTGAGAGCATAGCTCGATTAGAAAGTATGGAGAGCTTGATCTGAGAGCATAGCTCGATCAGAAAGCATGGAGAGCTTGATCTGACAGTATAGTTCGATTAGAAAGTATGAAAAGTTTGATCTGAGAGTATTGCTTGATCAGAAAGCTTGGAGAGCTTAATCTGAGAGCATAGCTCGATTATGCTCTCAGATCAAGCTTAGAAAGTTTGATCTAAGAGCATAGCTCGATCAAAAAGTGTGGAGAGCTTGATCTGAGGGCATTGCTCGATTAGAAAGAGTAGAGAGCTTGATCTGAGAGCATTGCTCGATCAAAAAGCATGGAGAACTTGATCTAAGAGCATAACTCAATCAAAAAAATGTAAAGCTTAATCTGAGAGCATAGCTTGATCAGAAAGCATGGAGAGCTTGATCTGAGAGCATAGCTCGATCAGAAAGCATGGAAAGCTTAATCTGAGAGCATTGCTTTATCAGAAAGCACGGAAGTTTGATCTGAGAGCATGGCTCGATCAGAAAGCATAGAGAGCTTGATCTGAGAGCATTGCTCGATTAGAAAGCTTGGAGAGCTTGATTTGAGAGCATTGCTTAATTAGAAAATATGGAGAGCTTGATCAAAAAGTATGGAGAGCTTGATCTGAGAGCATTGCTCGATCATAAAGCTTGGGAGCTTGAGAGCTAGTGAGCTCTTTCTAATCTGAGAGATTTGAGCACGCGATCTGGCCACGTGATTTGAAGCTGAAGATCAGAGTGATCTAAGTGCCCAATCTGAGCGATATGACCATGCAATCTGAGAACTCTGATTTGGAATATGCTTCAGTATTTTGACAATAACTTGAGCTGTAGACCTCATATTTGGATGATTCTTGAACCATTAGAAAGCTCACTTGAAGGGCTACAATTCTTGTGTTTACCACTTAGCCAGATTCAGACTTTATCCTGCTCAGATTTTCACATTTGATGACGTGATTCTAGATTAAGAAGTTGGGATTTGTTGAAGAAGTAGAGACTTGAGGGAAAAACATGGAGAGCTGCTGTGAATCAGGCCCTCCTTCTAGCGCCAAAATGTTGATACAAAAATCTGTACCAACCAGAGAATTCTAATTGACCCCGTCAGAACCAGAATGAATGTGCTTGAGATTACGGATAACCAGTAGTGGATGAATAATAAATGCAATAAAGTAAATGGCAGAGAGATTTTTAAAGTGGTTTGGCAAGTTAGAACTTGAGCCTACATCCATTGTTATCTTATTGTTTTTGAGAGCTTACAAAGAACAGTATAATTCCTAGGAAACATTGCTTAGAATAATTACCCAGCCCCCTTGAAAACAAGTTATGATGGGTTTATATAGCACCCATTTACATGATAAAGTTGAGATAAGATTCAAATGCGTAGGCTTAGGAAGTTGCATGATCTTCGGCTACCTTAGTTGGAATCTAAGTCAATCTGAATATCTTCCTTCCAAATTGAGCCAAACTAAATATCTTCTCTCCTAATAAGGAATTATCCTCACCAGATTGACCGCACAACACTCCATATTGCTACTGGCCAAATAGTATCTAGAGATGATAATAAAAAATCAATGGAGTTGGATACTTAGAAAAACTCGATTCTATCGGGCCCATAATGAAAGATTCAGCATGCATGAAGAGTGGTGGAGATGGAGAATGAAAGCATGAAAGCATGGATTAAAAAAAGGGTTTACATGCAAAGCTTGGATATGAGATTATACCTACCTGGCTTTGGATGTGAAGATTTAGCTTCAAAAGGATGAAACCTCCACACTTTAACACACTTGAGGGATTAGAGTGGCCTTGGCTAGGAGAGAGAGCTTTTAGTTTGTGTTTGAGTGAACAGTAATAATGAACAAAATACAACCTTTTGCAAATATATACTTGGGCTATTTTGCAATTATTTATTTTTCACTTCCAAGCCCAATAAAATCTTATTTTATAAAGGGACCCCATGAATTTAATATGCTACCCTTTGAATAATCAATATTATTCAAGGGCCCATGTAAACTAAACTAGTTTACATTAACAACTCATAAATTTACCTTTTACCCTTTAACTATTAAAAGGTTATTTTTGTTCATCTCATTAATCTTACACTTAAGATATAATAATTAAATATAATTAATTATTGCTTGACCATTTTAACCCTTAAAATGTCACAAATTATTTTCTATGTAACTATTACATAGAAATCCCGTTATTACCCTCGGAAGGTGCTAGCCCTCTTCAGTAATCATTTCTCTTTCTCATCTTCTCTAACTTCTGAAGGCTACTGGTGTGACCATGTAGGTCCACCGTGGATTAGCTGTGAGCCGGTTCTGGATGAATCGAAAACCCGTCCGGGGCCCAACGACTATGGTAAACATCTAGCAATTGCCATAGTCCCTAAACCACGATGAAGAAATACTTCATCGAACCCATTTCAGATCATACGTACCATGCAGGTAAAGTCCCTCCATGAGATATCCTAATCGAGTATGGATTCATGGAACGTCAAAATCCTAAACTCGATCTCCTATCGAATCGTCGATCAATATGTTCGGAACTCGTCATCACAACTTGTTTGTAGACTAATAATAGACTCTGGCCAGAGATTCAATTTTTCGACATTTATCGATGTTCGTCTAGGAACTCGAATCCGAATAGAGTTAACAGTACTCCATCCTATATTTTCGAGTCAATGGATCCCCTCTGACCATCGTTGTTTCCGCATATGAACAAACGCATGACCAAATAGGCTTTATTGTACGAAACATGATTAGTACGTAATTAACACGTATGAATCATACGCATCCATATCGGATCTGACTACAATGTCTCAGGTCAAAGGACTACATCGTGCACTGATATAACCAAACGATAAATCATTGACTAATGCTTTTCCAAGTGATTTGTCGTTATTCGGTCACATTCGAAACAAAAGTTCACCAACCGTTAACCATACCAATGCCCCAGTGACATGACTATCATCTACGTCCGTACTTATATCAACTCATGATATCTTCGGAGCATCCGGTATGCCTACTGTGCAAATAGTTGCCCAAATTTATATTGTTCCGTAGGGAACCCTTTCGATAATTCATTTACCTATTAATGAATCATCTGGACAATTCATATACGTACTTATTTAAATGCATGACTGAATAAAGGAAGCAATTACATATATGAATTGAAGAACTCTTTCTTTTATATTATGATATATATAGATACAAGACAAAGCTCTGAAACCGACAACACGAATGGTTTCTAGGCCATACACTAATATACACTAACAAACTCCCACTTGCACTAAAGCCATTCGGTTGTATCTCATACCCATTCTCAAGATGATGGTCCAATTGCTTCAGTGCCATCGCCTTAGTCAGTGGACAGCTACATTTTCTGCTGAAGGAGTCTTCAGAATCAAAATCTCTCCAGCTCCAACGAATTCTCTCAAAATGTGATATTACGCTGAATGTGTTTGGATTTTGGTGTGCCCTTGGTTCCTTTGCCTGTGCAATAGCTCCAGTATGTCACAGAACATGCTTATCGGGTAAGCCATGTTCGGAACCACACCAAGTTCAATTGAACTTTCGCATCCAAACAGCCTCCTTGCTGCTTCCGAAGCAGCATGTATTCAGCTTCTGTATGGAGTCAGCTTGGTTGTCTGTTTGGAACTTTCAACAAAGCACTCCATTGCATATAAAAAATGTACCTGACGTAGACTTTATCATCAATATCTGATTGGAAATCAGAATCTGAGTATCCTTGAAT